GGGTGGGGGAGTGTTTAGAATTTTGGAGAACGTTACTGCTTTTCTTGTACACTGAAAGATACTCAGTTTTTTGTTTTCTATTTCTGAACATCTCCACGAAAAGCTTCTTGTGCCTTGTGTAATTTCATTATTTCTACTGTTACCTCAGGACTGTCAAAACCAATAAAAATTTTACTCTCTTGAAAGGCGTGTTGCAACATTACGTAATGGTATTTCGAATGCCAGATAGGAATTTTCTCTCGGTAACAGGCTTAGACGAGACTGAAGGGCACAACGCCAAGCATTGTGTTGTATTTATACCGCTGATTCGAAATAAGCATGTTACTGTGTTTTAGCAATGTAGACATTGACAATATACTTCCAAAATGTGTATTTACTTGATTTTTATTCAAAGCTCTTGGTGGTTAATTTGTGTTTTGAACGATTAACCCTTTTCTCGTCGAGACAGCAATGCATTTCTTTCCAAAAATACATTATCAAAAAACCCAAAAAAACGAATAAAGCTTTTCTTTTACTCTATCAGATGTAATGCAGATTGCTGCCCCTCCTCCCCCAATCTTATTTTTACTCTCACCCGCCATCTCTCTCCCTCACTCCCTCATCCCAACCCCTCTCTCTCTCTCTCTCTCTCTCTCTCTCTCTCTCTCTCTCTCTCTCTCTCTCTCTCTCTCTCTGTGTTTTTATGTTGAACTAAACGAGGTAGTGTTTACTTATTTGAAAAAAAAATGTATTTACGAAATAAATTATTCACTGTGCTTTTTTTATAATGATTTTATTTTACTCTGTCGTGATTTGTCACTTTCAAGGCCATCATTTACTGTCTTCAGCTTGAATATAAAGATAAGGTAAGATAAGATAAGATACACCTTTATTGTCCAGATCCTGGCACATTGGTTTGGTGTTCCACCATGTGTACACACACACACACACACACACACACACACACACACACACACACAAACACACACACACACACATACACACACACACTCACTTGTACACCCGTGCACACACATGCACACACAAGTAGGCTTACAATCACATGCATTATATAAATGAGCAGCAATATAAACAATAATAATCGTAAGCTAGATACACATTCAATGTTATTTTGATGCATGCTCTAAGGTCGTAAGTATAGTTATACAAGATGGTTAAGATGGAAGCATTTTGATAGATGATAGTAAAAATGACCTTCTGTATCTTTCTTTGTTACAGATCAGAAGCATAGTTTGTTTTCTTTTACTCTTTCAATCGGCCTTGATTTTACAACTGTAACTCAGTAAGTGTATTTCCCACTATAAAGGTTACACACTATTACTGTGTCTGTTTTAGTAAGAGTTTTACGGCATTTGCAACACAAGTAGGTCAGAAAAGTGCCGAAGATTAGAGGTGTTACAAGAGAGTTACATACACAAAAAGGAGGCGGAGGAGAGATTAGGACGATAGATGTTTGATAGAAAAGAAGGAGCAAACCACACCAGAGCACCAGCCAACCACCCACGTACAGACTTTTGTCCAAGTACTCCAAAATACATTGCATAAGTATCTTACTGTAATGGTGGGAGGAAACAGCTGATTGAGGGTGCGGTGGCGGAGCGGTTAGTGCGCTCGTCTCCGAAGCGGAAAGTCCGGGTTCGAGCCTCGGTTCGGACACGGATTTTTTTCGCCCCGACCTGCCCACCCCGCAGTAATGAGTACCTGACTTCGAGTTGGGGAAGTAAAGGCGGCGCGGAAAGGAACTGGCCACCCTACCACAATACGCCGAAGGCCCAGGAAGTTGTCTCACTAACAAGGCAACCCCCAATGTCCGTATCGGATGCGGGAACAAATGTACTTTTACACAGCTGATTAGTTGGTATCATGCTGGACTACACGAAGTGGATGGCCCTGGTTTGAATCGCCAGCAGAGCGCTTTCAGCTTGGGCTGTATAGGAGCATTTTAAAAAGATTTTTAAAGTGTTTTACGGCACTTGCAACACAACAAGGCCGTATAAGTGCCAAAGATTAGAGGTGTTACAAGAGAGTAAAATAGGGAAAAAGAAGCAAACCACACCAGAGCACCTGCCAACCACCCACGACGTTTTTAAGGCCCTTCACTCATTTGTGA